GGAAAAGCTTTCCTCAGAGACAGAATGAGGTTCTCTACTCAAGGTTATTTTGAAGACTTCAGTGAGATCCCCTGGTTTAAGCCTAGTTTCAAACAGGAAGAAAGCAAATTAATAATACCTAGCACTAGCGAACTGGCATATTGTGAGAAAGCAATTTGCTTTTACGCTATCTCGCTGGAATCTCGCTGGATACAAAGTACAAACCTATGGGGCAGGTATGGTCACCCGCGTGTTACCAGGGCTCTGTAACCCTCCCCTGGTTGCATGGCTGCTAAGAGAGCTCTCTGGGCTTGGGCCCTGCTCCTGGAAGCTACACCAGAGGCCCAATCCTGGAAAGGCTGGAGCTGGACCTGAAGGTTACCCTCTTCTCTCACCAGTCCAGTAGGGTGCAGAGGGACAAAGAGCTCTCTCCCCCGGGCGCAGAGCAGGATCACCAGAGTAAGTGGGCCCTGCTGGTTTCCTTAATTGAGCCTTGGGGTTTGAGGCTGAAGCTGCCCAGGCTTTGACCTCAGGGAAGGGTCCCTGGGGGTTCCTCGCGGTTCTTTTCTTTGAGAGGCTGGGTGCAGGCTCCGGGCACTAGGTTTGCAGCGACAGGGAATGAGGACAGAGAGTAAATTCGGGGTCTCCTCCAGCCTCTACACCTCTCTCTTGCGCTCACTGCTCCTTACCAGCCTGCCCTCATTTCGTTTTTATGCCAGGGGCAGAGGATGAAGGGCAGAGGGAAGAGCCACACCCCGGTTTCCCTTGGTAGGCGTTCTGCGGAAAGGAAAGCGAAGGTGGCCCTGACCCTTCCCCGGTGCCGGGGCTGGGACCTGACACCAGCCAGACCCCGGCCCGATGCCAGGCCGCTGGAGGAGAGAGGGGAACCCCGGGCCTCTGTGGGATTTGAGGGAAACTTGGGAAGGGGCCCGGCCCATTCCACTTCCGGGGCGGCCAGGGCAAGGGGCCCAGGCTGCCTCGGCCCACCCAGTACCAGGCGCTGCGACCTCTGCGGCCCTGGCCTGGGGCGCGGTGGGGTCAGGCCAGGACGAAAGGGTCTCAGGATGCACAGGAAGAAACTGGGGGCTCTCTGAGCCCCGAATGAGAAGAAGTCCCGATTTCGATTTCCTCGTGAGCTCTAAGTTCTCCTACTTCCTGCTGTTTCACAGGATCGCCTCCCTCCCTCCCCGGCTAAATCTACCTGGGGACCAGCTTTTCCGCCTCTCTCTGCCCCGCCCCATTTGCACGCCCCTCCCATTGCTCTTCGGCTCCCTTCTCTCAGCTGCCCTGGGTCGCTCCCTTGAGACCTGGCCTCTGACAGTTTTCACGAGGGGGAGCATTAGACCTTGGACTCAAGTGGCCATCGTTGCAGAAGCGACTCGGGCTGGGTCTGGGGGGGCGTGAAGGAGGGAGGGAGTCTCCCGCCGTCCCCACCGCTCCTCGTGGGGAGCCGTGGGCGGTGCGCAGGGGCGAGAGAGCCCACCCGTGGGGCCGGGGCGGGGTGGTGTCGCCCTCCGCTCCGGACACCCACTCCTCTGCCTCCCTCACCCCGTTAACGTCACCTCCCAGAACTGGCAGCGGTAACACTCATGAACATATGGAGACGTCATCATGATTAAACAGCAAATTATAGTCGAAGATGGAGCGATAATAATCTAAACAATCACCCCAAGAATGAGCCAGACACTGGAGCCTGCGTTTCCGAAACTCGCCCTGCGATCCACGGGAATCTCTCCAAGTGCGCGCGTGGCCCCGGGCCTCAGAGCGGTCCAGGGGGCACCGAACCCGGCACCACGCTTTGGAGACTCCTCGGACGGCCCGGGACCAGGCGGGGTGGGGGCCTGGAAGGAGGCAGCCCCTGGGCGCCCGCTTCGGAGGGCGGTCCCACCCGCCAAGCAGTTGGAACCGCAGGAGGAACAAGGGTCCCGGAAAGCAACCCAGTGGGCACCACAAAGGAGCGTGCGCTCCGATCCCCCGCCCTCTGGTCCCTCTGTCCCCTCCCTCAGCCTGGCCTCCTCCTAAATCTCCCAGGAAGCTGATTTCTGGGTGGTTGCCCGCCTGCGAGGGAGGGGCGTCTTTCGTCTCCCAAACCCGGAGATCGCGCCCGGCGTTTTATTCCGGCAAGGAAGGGGCTCAGCGGTGCGCACGGTTCGCCCCCAATCTGCAGACTCGAAGATGCCCGTGGGAGGCAGCGCCCTCCTGCAAAAAGACCCGAAAGGACCCTCCCTTCTCATTTCCCTCCTCCTAGCTAACACATTCGTAGCCGCAAGAGGCTCAGGCTTTTAAATTTGAATTCCAAGGGTTGGGCTCAGGTTAGCAGCATCCTATTTTATGTAAACGCAGACTGAAAATAATCATTGAAACGAAACTAACAAAATCCAACTCTTTTCTGAAATAACGATCATTCTGGGTTGTGGGACCGCCAGGGCAGCAGCCCGCACCCCTTTGGTAGAGCCGGGATCCAGGGAGGCGGGGCGGCTGGGAAGGCAGCGCGTGACCCGGTGCGGGCCCGCGCGTGCGTGGCGCGGGGCGGTGATCAACGCTGCCGTTGAGAATCCGTGAGTTTCCAGCGCTCGGGGCGCAGGGACGCATGTGTTGCTGGAATTCAATCCGTGGGGGGAATGCAGATTGGGCTGCGACCCACTGGGGTTGATTTATGAACTGTTACTCTAGCGATTGTTTACACATTGCATTTCAGAGCCCCGCGCACCCTCCCCGCGGCGGGCTGCAGCTCCGCAGTGCGGGGACCCAGGCCAGCCGCCCGCGGCCCCCTTTAGTCCTCTCCCTCCCCCAGAGACCCCGGGGCTCTGCAGTTCCTCCCACCCCAATAACAACGAGAAATCAGATTTCGATTTCATTGAATCCACGAACCCGGAGGCCTCCCTGCCCCAGCCCATGGCTCTCCTGCACGCCGTCCCGGGTCGCCTCTGCGCCACTTTACTCTGCAATGTTTACTTCTCCTAAGGCCATGCGGGGCCTATAAATAGGAGAGGTGGAAGCAGCTCGGCTGCCAGATCAATAGGGCCTTGTCTCCTGGCCTTCTCAGCTGAGCTGCCTTATTAATTATGAAAGGATTCACCTGATCCCTACCCGGAGCGCAGCCTCTGGCCCCTCCGCTGGAGCCTTAATGGTGGTTCCCCGCACGCCGCCTGGGCCACCGAGCGGGAAGAGGCGAATGGTGGTCGCGCCGGACCCACCTGGGGCGGGGGCGCGGGGGGGGGCTGGCCGTGCCCTGCCGCCGCCTGTGCGCCCTCAGCTGCCCCCAAGCCCCTTCCCTCCAACCCGCACCTAGAAAGGACCTCTGGGTTTTAACTACGTAACTTCAAAACGACGTCCCTGTTCCTCCCCGGGTGAGAAGGGTTTGGGAGACGCAAAGCGTCCTAGGTGGGAGCGGCGTGAAGACCACAGCTTCTCCGGCGGCGGCGGCGGCGGCTTTGGGAAGCGTCGCCCCTCGAGAGACCCCGAGAACTTGGATCCGGATCGGAAAGAAAAGGACACCCCCGTTTCAAACAATAACTTTTATTTTATACTTCTCTATACTTTGTAGCAAATCTTTTTTTGCTGGATTTAATTTATAATAAACTTTTTAAATTACATCTCTCTCTTTAAAATCAAGGCTCTTTTATGTCAAAATCTTTTGAACTATATTTTAGACTAACATTTAACATCCCCCCCTTGTGAGCTATACCGTTGGATACTCGGGCATTACTGTATGTGTAACATCTAAAACAGAGAGAGGAGGGAAAATAAAGGCAGTGGATTTGAAAGATGCATCGACAAGAGCGGGGAAAGCTAACCCCTCAGTGACTTCGCAGCATTTCCTCCACTGGCCTCCAGCCAGTCCTCCAAGCCCTCTTCCCTCTTCATCCTGTCCTTCACTCGCAAAGCCAGCACTGTGTGCTTTCGCTTTTCTCCGGGAGAAATGTGCAGTGGAAATGGTCAAAGCAAGGAACTGTGGAGGAAAGACTGGAGCGTGAGCTGTGGACTATCACCGGGTGCTTCCCGCGCGGACATGTCTCTCCTTTCACCCCCTGGCCTTGTCCTGTCCTCGCTTTCCTGTTAGGAGGAGCTCAGCATTTTTCATGTTACCAACGTGATTACTAGAGTAGGTGGCCCAGGGCCGTTCCTGAGATTCGTTTGCCAAAATAAAAACCAAAAATAAAAAAAAAATGGGGGTGAAGTTTGCCGTTTTCTCATTTTCGCGTGAAGACGGACTAAAGCTGAGGTCCGATTTTGGCTGTGCTTGCTCGATCACTGATTGGTAACCTTTGGCAAATAAAACACACCAAAAAAATCAAACAAAAAATGTTTTCTTTTAAAAAAAAAGGAGAACCAGGATTTCCCACAATCCTATATGAGTGTTTTCAGCATCACAGAGAATCACAACGTCCTCAAAGAACGAATGGATGTCCCTCTGGGTTCCGGGAGGGAGCGTGGAGTGGGGCGGGTGCGCGGGGGAGCGGCCGCGCTCAGAAGGGCAGCCAGGCCGCCAGAGCTGCCCAGAGAGCCGCCAGGAGCAGCGGCAGCGCCGGGACCAGCGGCCCCGCAGCCCCGTTACCACCGCCGCAGAGTTCGAATAAGCTGCCTTGGATGTTGAGGCTTTTGGATTCTTTTCTCAGTTTATCCCACACATCTTTCGCCCCTTCTTGGCAATCCATAAGGGCTGTGACCGTGCAGCTGTGGAAATCCTCCCAGTATCTGGCGAGGGACAGAACAAAACACAAGAAGCCTGTTCATTGGGCGCGGGGAGCACCCGGCCTGCGCCCTCGCGGCCTCGCCCCTCCTCCTCCCAGCAGCGCCGTCCAGGGCCCGGGCCACCCGCACCTTTCCCGGCCTGGTTTCCCCTCTCCGGGGCCAGGAGGCGACTCCGAAGCCGCCAGCCGGGTTGCGCCCGCAGCGTCGCGCTGGCACCTCGGCCTGCGCAAACAGATTGCTCGCCCTCCTCAGGGAAAGCTAGGAAAACAGTGCTAAGCCTCGCAAGCTGCCGCCCATGAATGCCTCTGAGCTTGCAAGGTGGGTAGCTCGCTCCGAGGGCGGCCCCCCCTCTAGGCTCCGCACATTCTCCTCCCCCGTCCCTTCCGTCTCCTCCTCGCCCGCCGGGGCGATCTCGCCTCCGCCCTCCTCCTCTCCCTCCACCCACCCTCGCCTCTTCCTTTTGTTTCCCATTTCTCCTCACTTCCCGTTGTTTCCCTTCCCCTTCCCTTCGTTGACCTCTCTTCCGTTCCCCACTTCCTCTTTCTCCGCCTCTCCACTGGCTGGGGTCCTCGGAGGCCCTCCTCCCTCGCGCTCCGAGGAGGTCGCCGCTCAGATTGCGTCCCGCCTGAAACTGCCGCCTGCCTCTGCCCTTCCCGGGTCGGTGAGTTGTCAGTGTCGGGACACCTGGGACCTGCCCTGCAGCCTTCTCGGCTTCCGGCTTCCGTAAACCTCGGGGCTGCAGCCCTCCTCCCTGGCTTTTCTTCGGCCTTGCACCGCGGGGGTCCTATTCCGCCGGGCCTTGGGGTGTGGCGCCCATGGCCCCAGGCCAGGACTCCTGGGCAGGCGCGGTGTCCACCGTTGTCCGTCCTCCCAGTCAGCCCCGGAGCCCCGGATTATTCTCCCACTTCCTCCTCAAAGCTTAGTTTTGGCCCCGCCCCCACAACCTTTATTCAGCCTGTCCATGTTTTAAAAATTGTCCCCCTTTCTTCTGAGAATCACCAGAAATAGATCCCAAGACTAAATATAATCCCAAATGGTGATTGATGCCCTGGCTCTGTCTCCTTTCCGAGCTGGGTCGATCTGCAAGTCTCCAGCCTAACTGGGCCTGAGCACGGGCGTGCAGGGCTGTAAGCATGTTGAAGGCAGGCACCATGCTTGACGTCTACCTCTTCCCACTCCTGCCCCATCTCTGGCGAGCAGTGAAGTTATAAGTGCTTGTTGGACTGCCTTGAACTCAGGTTGTCTTCTAAAAACTTCTAATTAATGTGCTCTGGGGGGCTGGAGCACAGGAATTTCAGGATCCCAATTTATAGTAAATAGCAAGGTGTACAGGCACCAGAGGCCCAGGGGACTGTACCCCAGGAGCTCCTGTCCAACTGCACCTCAGAAGGGTGTCCAAGTTGCTTTCTTTGAGTTCCCCTAGATGAGGAGCAAGACCTCCAGGAAGAGGTCTTCGTGAAGAAATTGTCTGGGGCTGAGAGAGGCGGGCTACATCCCGGTGCTGAGCAACCAGCACCACTGAGCACCAAGCTTGGGGCCTGGATCCTGCCATGGCCTAAAACCCCAGGAAAGGGGCCATCCCCATCCCCCAGTTTTCCAAGGCCAAATCCTGCTAAAAAATAATGAAAATCACCTTGTTCCAGTAAATGATGGCGGAGGTGGGAGCTGCTCTATTTGTAACCCTGTCATGCTTTGTAGATTTAATCTTAACTATTATCAGACACTCGGAACTAAATGCCTTTTGTCCCTTGCGTGGTAGAAGAGTACTAGCCTGCTATCTGCTGTGGTTCCTAGCGGCACTGTGGTATTTGGGAGCGTGCCAGCAAGGTGGGTCCCTAGTCAGTCATAATTTAAATGAACACCCTTCCCTCGACTAGGGAGAGAAGAACCTCACAGTATAAAAGAAATGCCATAGAGACATTTCGACCTCTGGGAACAAGGGACACTTCTTGCTCTGACTTTACTGAAAGGGGCATTGGGGTGGGGAAATAGAACTGTTTTTGAAAGATAAAAGACTGTCTCAGAGGAGGGGGGTCCTGCTGAGGTCTATAGCAGGGGTCCTGTCAGAGGTCCACCTCATCCGCTGGCCGGAAGAGGCTTCCTTTCCAGCTCATCTCTGAGAAAACAGCCCTGGGCCTGCCATCAAGTCCTGATCTTCTTTGGGCCTGCAGCTGCCCCATCAGGGGAGACCGCGGAGAAACCGGAAAGAAAGGGGAGGGGATGAGGGGTGCGGCTGCCCCAACCTGTGTGTGCAGCCCTGGTTAGCCAGACTCCGTGGCTCTCCTTGGGCAAGGTCCTGGGCACACAGTAAAGCACTGGCTTGTCCTTTCTCCCAGGGCCCAGAGGGATGCTCACGCCCCTGCCTGTTCCTGCTGTGTAGCAGAGGGCACTGTATTCCCGGAAATAGGCGGAACAGACAGGGGACTTTTCCTCCAAGCAAAGACAACTGCTCCGAGATCACTGGTAGGTCACTGGTGCACAGAGGGCAGAGTGGAGACTGCCTCAAGGCAGGGATTTGGCAGGACCAAGAACTGGCAGCCAGGTTCCCTGCCCAGAGCAGTGGCTCGGAGGCCTGGGGGGGGGGCTGGGCTGAGACCCCCACGGGAGGAAGGCCCCTTAGACAGCGCTGGTGGTGAGGTGGCCCTGGGGGTGGGAGGCAGAAGGCGAGTTCCGGATTTGCGGGAGGGAGACAGGCTGGTGCTCACTGACCTCGCAGGCAGCCCGGTCTCCCCAGAGAAACCCAGCGCCCTAGCTGACGCACTTACGTGCACACGGTCTTGATGTTCGTCTTGTCGTCCAGGCCCTGTGGGTAGTTGGCCATGCTGTCGCCCAGCTTGAGCAAACAGTCCGAAAAGCCCTTAAAGACTGCATCGCACTTGCCCGCTGCTCTCACGGCCTGCACCAGGTACGCTGCGGGAGGAGGGGACAGCGGTCAGCAGCGCCCGGACGCCCTGCCCTGGCCCTGGGCCTCCCGCCCCGCTCGGCTCGGCCGGCCCGGCCGGCCTGGAAAAGTGGAGGAAGCTGTGGCCTAAGAATGACCCTGAGAGGACGCGGGCGGGCGGGCGGAGGGAGTCAAGGCCAGTCCTCGCCCAGTGTCAGCTCCCTCCGGAAGCGAGCCGTATCTTTCTGTTTCCAAAGCCCCCCCTTCTCTCTTCCCTCATCCCCTTCACTTCTTTGCCCTCACTCCCGCTTCACCTCCCAGCACTTCCCCAGCAAGCCCGGTCACTCCTCTCGCGGTGCAGTCTTCCATTTCTGAGGTGACTGGGGGGGCCCTCAAGGACAGCGTGGAGGCACAGCGGCGTGGGGTCGCTCAGCGGATCCCAACCCCCCACGCGATAGCCCTCAAGCCCGCCCGTGGCGGGGCGCAGCAATCGCTGCCCAGTGAATAAAGACTCCGTGGAAACCCGAAACCTGCTGTGTGCGCCAGGAGTCTGTCCGAGGGAGCCGGGGACGCGTGCTCCCGAGTCCCGCTAGAGCGGGCCGCTTACACTCCGGAGACCTGGGGGTGGGGGTGTGTGGATCGGTCCCGGAAGGTCAGGGGACAACAGGCGGGCGGGCGAGGTCACAGATGTGCCCGCGCGGGTGACGCCGGGTCAGCTCCAGAGCCGCGGTTCCCCTGCTTTCTCCTGCCCCTCTCCGGGCCTTACTGTCCTCGGAAAGGCCGCTGCTACTCGGCACGGATGCGGTGCGGCCCAGACCCTTCCTCTCCAAGCCCCAGCCGGGCTGCAGAACGCAGTGCGCAGAACTGGCGGCCGCCTGGGGCTGCAGGCTCCAGCTCTGAGCTCCCTCCAGAAGATGGGGTGCTGGCAGACGCTGGGGGGGGGGGGGGGAGGACAAGACCCAGGCCGCACTGAGGTCCTGAAGTCTGCCAAACCCCGGGGCTCCGGACTGAGAATGGTCCAGGCCCAGGGCGCACTGCGGGGCCCATTTCTGTCCACCCGAGGCCAACGAACTGGGCAGAAGCTGGGTACCTGGTGGCCAAAAGCACCTCGGGCACGGGGGGGGGGGGGTTGCCCAGGGAAGCGCACAGTTGCGCGGTTGGGGCCGGAGAGGTGAGGAGTGAATCTCGGAATCAGTCGGAATCCGGATCGGCCTCCAACTCCCAAGCCTGGAGCGCAGGCCTCTCCCCGGACAGCGTTCTGGCGTTCTGGCCGCCGCCGCTGCCGCCGGTGTGTGAAAGGACCCGGGGGCACCTGGCACCTTACCCCCAGACCCAGCAGCCACCCGGGCGGGCACAGGGCCGCTCGCAGGCCGGCGGGAAGGTGACCGAGCTGCAGCAGCCTCGGGCCGAGAGCGCGCCGCTCGAAGGTTGCTGCAGGAAGAGCCGGGCGGGCCTTGCGCTTTCTACTCCGGAACGGGAAGCGCTGGGAGAGGGACCGAGGTTAACTTCGACCTGGGCCGGGGCAGGGACCTTCCTAAACCTCCTGGTTTCTCTTACCCCTCAGAATAAGTACCCATGCTACTACAATAACAGCAGATCGAACCCTGACCTGGAATCTCATGGATAAATGCATCTTTGTTCTAACGGAACTCCGTCAGAATGAAATGAACCCTGCACACCTTCCTCGATAATGCATGTTACAAATGCACCTTTGCAGGAGAGACAAAACACACGCCACGCTCCCATTCCTGGTCTCTCCTCACCCTTTACTTCCACTCCCCAAACTCCGTGTTGGAAAGGAAGCCCCTGAGAAGAGCTGGTAATTTTTTTTAAAAGAGGAAGCGGGGCTCTCCTTGATCAGGAAGCGCGCCTGTCACGTTATCTTTCCAGGCGCTGCACCGCGCATGTGTGAGTGTGTGCGTGTGTAAAATAAGAAGTCGTGAAAATATCTGTGTTTTGCAACTGTGACTCCTTGGGGTGCAGCCTGCCTGCTGGGAGGCCGGAGCCTTGGCGGGATGGATTTTGCAGGTGCGCCCGACCGGGCAGGTCGTAGCCTGTGTGCCCCGCACAGTTTTTCCTGCCCTGGGTTTCCACAGGGCTCTGCGGACGACCAGAGGCTCCTTCACAGTCCTCTCTGTGCGGTTTCCATTCGTTCATTCATTCGTTCGACCTCTCATTCACTCCAAACTTCCACCCACCACATCTTCATTCGTTCACCACTCTCTACTTCCCCGCCCCTCCCCAGCCCCCACTTTTCTTGCCAAATGTCAGTGATTTGGGACAGCTCCCAGTCATGAATTAATAAAGACTGAGGCTCTGGTGCAGGAAAGGGCAGACATTCGGGAACAAATATACTCAATTTCAATGCCACAGCCAACAAACGGTCATTTTCCGGCTGAGGCTGATATGTTCAAAAACGCGTCCCTCAAGCACCCCCCCCCCCAGTAAGGTTGTTTCCCACCAGGACAACACAATCCTAAACCTCCGATTAAAAATCCTATGTCAAAGACAATTGCTGTTTCTTGCTCTCAAAAATTTGCAGGCTAATTGCAAAAGGCCACATTCACTTATTTTCAACATTAAAGGGTTTTGCTGTCATTAGAGATGTTCTTTCTTCATTGCAGCTCTTTGAACTAATGTCAAAGATGCAAAAACAACTAGATTGAAAGTCATTTCTTAGAATTAAAGGAAAAACACTAACATATTTGTGGTTCCCCACACATCTTGAAACCATATGCTCTAAAATCCCTATAATATTTCTGCAAAAATACCCCACCTTCAAAACCTTTTGTAATGCATAAAACCCTCCTGCAAAGAATCCATTTTAATGTCCAGAGAACCCAACCTTGTTTCCTTCACATTTCTCAGGAAAGAAAATTGTTCTGCATTTTGTCTCTTGCCCAAAACCAATTCTCTAAAGCAACCCCCCCCTCCAATACTGCAAGCCTCTGTCTGCAAAGAAAGCTATAGTAGATGCTAGCAGGTAACAATTCCCTCCATCTCTAGAAAATCTTTGAAGAGTTTCTATTTTCTCTTGTCCATTCTATTAATAACCTGCTTCCCTTTCACTTTTAGGCCATGTTAATTAATGTTCTGACCCGCCATCAGAGAAGAGGATTTTTCTAGTGCATAGAAACCACAACGTTTTCTGCATGCTGGATAGGGGGAAAACCCTGTGAACTTTAAAAATCCCCCTGACAGTGTAACTAGGACTCCACATTCCTTAACAGAACATACGGACTATAAACATCTGTCCATAATTGACCCCAAACAAACAAAAACAACAGCACCTGATATGATACTGCAAACACTTCTTAACACTTTTCTCATTATAAAATACAGACACTGATGTGTAAAGTACCGTAATAGGCAAATGCGCTTAAGAGGGTGTATGCATGCAAGTGGCTAAGCGCATCCTCCTCAATTGTAAGCACAATAAAATATGCAGTCCGGGGCTCCCCACTCTTCTCCATTTGCCCCTCCGGCCGGGTCTGCGCTCCAGAGCCAACACTGCAGCTCGGCTATGGGGAGGGGGGGGAATGACAAAGTTCTACATGCAGCAGTTCGAGCAGAGCCCCGGGATGTCTTTTCCGTCTGCACATAAACTTTGGAGAGCCCTGCCTGCCTGGCCATCTTGTTCCCGCATTCGCCTTTCGACCCTTCCAAATAAGATCTTGCAGGATCGCAGGGCCCAGAGATTGCCCCTGAGCGCACCGAGCCTGGTCTAAGCCCAGAAAGGAAACCAAAAAATGGAGGTGCACTTTGGGAAAAAAGGGCAGGGGGAAACCCCTTTCTGGGAAACGGCCGGTTGTACACACTCCCTGGAGAACGTTTGAAGTCTTTCTCTTTTTGAAAAGAAAAACCGAACCGGGACGCCCGAGTCCCCAGGCGGCGGTGCCCCAACCCTAGGGGGTTTGCGGGGCTCCGCACCCCGGGGCGGCCGCTGGCCAGCCGGTCCCCTCCGCACCTCGTGCCAGCGCGGGCTGTCTGCAGAGCCCCTCCGGGAGGCCACTTACCTATTTGCACCGCGAGGATCAGCGAAATATATCTGCCGTTCAACTTAAGTCCCATCCTACGTTTAGTCAAACCATTTGCGACCGCAGACCTTTAAATAGTTAGTTTAGAGAACGCGGGGGAAAGCTGAAAAATAGGCATTGCCAACAAGTTCCGGAGCGGCCGAGACTTTATGCACGGGGAAGGCAGAGGGAGGAGAGAAAGAGAGGGACCGAGGAAGAGACAGAAAGAGAGAAAGAGAGAGGGAGGGAGGGAGGGAGGGAGGGAGGCTGAGAGGGGGGAAGAGCTGGGAATGGTTCACTCCATTAGGAGGGGGCGGAGGAAGTACAGCCTCACGCCCACGAGCAGGCCTGACGTGGGGGATGACACGGAATGCTTCTTTTTTTTAATGTTAATAGAGACACCTTGGTAGAGGATCGCCATTTATAGTCATCAGAAGCTGGAATTAATCAGATAGCTCCAATTAATGTGTGATTCGAAGGAAACCTCGCCTCCGGGGGTGACCACTTCCCAATCCCCGCGGCCACCCCCGCCTCCTCCACGCTCCCGGGGGCTCCCGACCCCGCCCCTCCGCGCGCAGAGCGGGGCTCCCTCCCGTCCCCGCCGGCAGCGCGGGAGTCCTGGCGCGCCCGCTTGGTAGTTTCGACCTGCTCCCCTCCTCCGGTCGCAGCGCGCGAATCCCGGCCCCGCTCCTACGCTGCAGCGGGGTGGAAGGAGCCGGAGCCCTCGCCGCCCGCCCTCGCTCTGGCCTGCCCTCTTTCGCGCGCCTGGCAGCTGGGCTCTGGGCGCCCCGGGAGCGCGTGAGCCCCGGCCGGGCCCGCCCTGAGCTCACACCCACGCCGGACCGGGGGCTGCGTCCGCGCCCGCGGGGCCCGGGCTCCCAGGCTCCCAGCGCGGCCCACGGTGAAGTCCAGCCCGCGGGCGGCCCCGCCGGCCAGAGGCGGGTTCCCAGGGCGCAGAGACTTATTTGGGAAGGTGTGGGGGTCACGGAGAGGGGGCCCCGCAGTCTT